AACGACCGACTGAGGTCAAAAGATTACACAAGCATAAACAACAAGTAATAAGGTGAAATGCTAATGTAAAAAGACAATAAATAGTAGAGACATGATACAAGAGGTAAGAAGCTGAGTCATAACGTACCTGGAACGCAAGACAAAAACCTATTCGTCAACAACTAAGACACCAACTCAAATACTCAAAGTTAGGAGGTCCCACAACCACAATTCTACAGACCAAGCCTAACAATAAAAAATAATAGAGAATAAGATATAGTCAAACAATAATCTAACCAGACACCATAAGCCAAAAGGTAGAATCAGAAAACATAACCCAACCGACCCCATAAATTGAAGGGGTGCAATCAACAAACAAGAATACTGGTGATAGGTAATACATATAGATGCAGAGGATGCAGTAGAACCATCAGTAACCATCTGTAACTAAGTGTATAGAACTACCTCCCCGCCCTACGGGTGAGGTAGGACCCATGCAGCTCCATCATTCGGTACTATAATACTCACGACCAAAGGAGCTCATAGGGGACGCATGTAGTTTGTATACACTACTTGGTCCCGAACCAAGACTTAGGCCTTGAAATTGTAAGAAGTAGGGATCAACTCCGTAGAGGATCATAAGTAGACATATTCATGCAAGAAAAGGCATCGACACGCTGACTAGTTAAGTAAGAATTGAGCACATCATAGATGCCTCTAATATCTTGAGTAGTAAGGAGCACATCCCTGACGTCTCGTAATCTCAAAATCCAGCAAATCCGGCGATCTAGGTGTATGACTCCTGTTAAATCCACTTTAGAGTAAAAACTGAGTAAATTAGTATTTCATTATATATGCTATGTATGTCAATGCATAAGCCGAGATCGTACCACAAAATCTATGTGAATGAACAATCAATGCAATGCATGCCATCACCATCATTCAAACAAGGCACTCAAGTCAAATAAACAATCAATCACCCAAACCATGCTATCAAGCGGAGAGTACTAATTTGAGATCCCGCTGGTCCTCGTGTACGACCTCGGGACAAACAATATAATAAAGCTCATAAGGGTATAACAAGTCTATAGCTAAACAACAAGTGAATGGGCCAATGAAGAGTTCCAAATCAATAAAATAGAAAACTGACTCAAGGGGTGATACCCTACCTCAATCATGCTACTTCAAGCTAAGATTGCGCATAGCTAAGGCCAACCTATGACTACGATGGTCACCCAGGTCACAGGTCCCAACAAAAAGAGAACAACCTATTACCAGCCTACTAGGAGCAGAGCATAACTATAAGGGTGGTACAACATAATCTAAGGTACCTAATGTCCCCTTGAGTCTATTGTCACAAAGTATCAATTCCACCAAGGACAAACAAGACCATTGATACCACAACAAAGCTACAAGCCTAAACTAAGGATTCCAACACCCAATCTAAGACGAAGGCCCTTACGGAAACAAAAAAGATGGAATGACAAGAGGGAGGGTAAATACCGGCAAATGCCATAATAAAATCCCAAAGGCCTCTGAACACCACAACACTATTAAATTATTGATCACAATGTCATTAATAATGATTAGGCAATAAATTTGCATCAATTAGAAACATACTCAGAATCGAGTAAATAATGAGAGTGTGTGACCAGCATCAGGAATCCCAAAATTGGCTTCGTCAAAAGGTCATAAACCATGCCTTAAACTTGTGTTTGAAAATAAAACACAATGCGATGCTCGAAAATCAGCTAACCCAACAACAACAACGAAAACTCAAATTAAAAGAGAAAAGGTAGATATTTACTAGAGAAATTCACCTCGAACAGAGAGTCACCAATACAGTCTAATCACTCTACCACTAATCTTGACAATTACGAATGCATGGGGCTTCGAATCACCAAATCAGAGCTAAAACGAAGGACATATCCTAAAAATACCAACTTAAGCCAAGGCTGCCTCGCGACTAGCTTTAATAGAGAGGCCCGATCACTGGTCGGTCGTGACCGCGGTATATTGAATGCGAACATGAGGCCAGCCATTCCTAAAAGTGGCATCCCGCGCGTGAACATGTACGCTAGGGCACCAGCCATTCATGACCGTGAGGCCAGGCACACGGCCGCGACACCTCAGCTATAGCAAAGGTCTTGTGCTTCCAAACTTCAACGGAGTGCCCAAGATTCACCCGGAACTCCGTGCACACAAACGAGCTATGCTACCTCATCAAAAATGGTATTCCAGACTCAAAAAAGCATCAAAATTACCATACGAGGTTGTTTTGATTAAAAGTGAGTCATATACCCAATTTTCATTTTATGCCAAAATCTACGAGTGGCCTTAGAATTAGCCCAAAAGCCTCGGGACCTAAACGAAGAGTAATTCTAGACTAAAATCAACATTCTGTATCTACCCACGCTGACAAAATTCTCATCCGAGCCCGTTTACTCAAAATGTTGACAAAAGTCAAACTTAGGCTTCAACTTAAAAGTTAAAATGCCTAATCACACAGACTCACACTGAAAGCCTCGGGAGCCATGCCGACTATGCTTCTAGACTAAAATGGCCCTTTTGTAGCTGATGAAATAATCATAATTGGATTCTAAGGTTATCTTCCTGAATTTTTTGATTTAAACTGACCGTTCATGGTTCAAAAGCTTCAAAATACTATAACTTGCATAAAAACTAAACGAACGACCAGGTTACCAAATTGTCAGTCCCAACAAGTCATTAATGACATGGTGTCACTACATGAATGGTCTAAATGCTGAACATGAGACATATAAAAACTAAATGACATGGAGGTCATTACAAAAACAACATAGCTTAGGTATCCAACACATAGGGAAAGACTAAAATAGCCATTACTTAAAAAGCTGAGGGGTGACTTATATGGAAGCCTTTACGGACCGTTTAGGTCTTGATGTTCTGTGAAGGGAACCGTACAGATGGGCCAGCTCTAGGGCTGCGTTAAACAGCCAAAACTCTGCCCCTAAAAGGTCAATGAATCCCTAAACGGACTGTTTAGCTAATCATGGACGGTGCATGGTTGGTTTAGGCCTGTGGACCTGTCCGTTCAACCCGTAGTAGATCTCCCAAATTAATTCCAAGGTGTTACATTGTATGCGAAGTTTCTAAATAATAGTCCACCTCCTATATATATCAGTAAAATTCATATACCAATCTAGTACTAAATCTGCCATTGTCGATGAAATATTTCATAGCCCATCTATCAGTGCATCAGATATTCCTATCAGTGTTCACAAACCAAGCTAGTGTTACCATTAGCTTAGTCAATAAATGATCAATTGGGAATCAATCATAATCACTGAAACAATTTTACTGATTTCTGAAGTCTCAACTACTGGACCTATCTACCACTCGTAGATGGTGCCCGTGAAACACAAAATTCTAATGATTTCAACACTTTTCCCTAGTCTAACCTGAGCTATGGATTTTTGGGTGTTACACCCTTTAAGCACACTTTTTATCTTTAAATATTTATGGTATCTTTTAAAAAAAGTGTTACTTAATAATATAATATACACACAATAATTTGTTCTTTTATATACATTTATTATTAGTTTACGCGATACACACTTGCAAAATATGTACATTTCACTAGTTAATATCAAATGATATTTAGTTTACCCTAGAATTAAGCCAAGAAGCACAAGAGAAAGCCATGTGTTAGCTTAGAAAAAAATAGTTAGTTAGGTAATTAGTTAGTGTTTCTGAATTTATACCTTAAATAATTAAATATCGATATTTTTTTCTTTTTTTCAAACTGGGAAGTTACCACATATAGCTCTATTCAATAGAATTTTTTAAATTAAAAATTTGACAACTATTTAATCATAATGATTAGGGGTGTAAATAGGTCGGTTTGTTTTTCATAAAAAAAATAACTAAATCAATTATGTCAGTTTATTAAATTTTAAAACCAAATCAAAGCAACATAAAGTTGGCTTTTACGGCTTTGATTTTAGTCGGATCTTTCATTTTTACAATTTTTTCATTTTTCCTTTACTGATATATAGTAATTGAAAAAGAGATCAAATATATTTTTCACTTACCTGTGTGATAAGCTAAAACTTGTAATCGTTAAATGTATAGGAATCTTCAAAAAGTTGGTATAATTCACATGAATACAAAATACTTTCATTGAAACATCAACGTTCATTATATTAAATTTAATTATAAGTTTAAAGGCTATAGTCAAAGTGAATACAAAATAAACCATATACAAAGTAAATTATTAACTTTCGATCTGAAAAACTATAACAATATAATTGTAGCTTGTGAAAATGTTCTTGGTAAAGTTTGCTTCTTTTTCAAATTTTGTATAATTGAAGTTTAGAAAGAAAAAAAAAATCTATTTTTAACTCCTCAATTTTTTACTCAAAAGGGCACAAATGAAATGTCGAACAGATATCTCTCTAATCTCTATTTGTCAATGTATTTTATTGGTAAGATTTCTCCCTCTATTGTGTTTGTATATAAAAAGTTTTTTCCCCTTTTGTTATAAAGATTTTCTTTCTCGTTTTGTTGTTAGGGTTTATATTTAAGGTGACTTCTCAATATTCAAATGTGATGCGCAGATTTTCCAGTTGTGCTGATTTCAAATTCTTATCCATCATTCTACACTTAATTTACCGATGTTCCAAGCTTTAATTTGCCCATGTAAGTTTTCCAATTATTTTTAGGATTGTAATTTTCATTTTTCTTCTATGTTCGGCTAACAGATTCATCTCTCTTTCAAATTGGTATGCATTTTCCCTTTATGGTGGACTACATACAAAACTTTGTTTTGATAAACATGATAAAGGTTCCTCTGAACAACACAAGTCCTTGGTGATAGAAAGTTGAACACTTAAATCAATGTTTGTTGAAGTGCTCAACTTTCTATCATCAAGGGCTTGTGTTGTTCACATGAATCTTTATCATGTTCATCAAGCTTACCAATTTTAAAGAGAAACAACTCTGTTAGCCGAACAAAAAAAAGAAAAAGGGAAAGTACAAACCTATTTTGCTGTATAGTTAACTTTACATTTTTCTTCTCTTCGGATCCAAGAGTCCTTTGTCCTGTTGAAAGACTTCGATAATGGCGAGGATGGATTCGTGGGATAGCAGGGTCTAAATCTCCCAGGAATTGCGAGGTCTGCCTCTCTATTTTTCTTATCAGCACTTCCATGAGATGACATGGCTTTCTCACTTGCCAATACAAACTGAATTGTCGAGTTCCCATAAATCTCAACAAGTTTATTAATCCTCGGGATGCACAAAGAGGCTGCCGGAGAATCACTACCATTGCTCACGTGAACAAACTCATCTGCTGCTTTATTGGTATTTTGTTGATTACTTTCACCCTGACCTCCCTGACCACAATGTGAGCTATAATATTTTCCACCGTATTTCCCAAAATAACCTGTTGCACTCATAAATGTTTCCCTCTCATACCTCCATATCTCACTTTCAATAAAGGAACCAACCTACCAAAGAGTAACATGTAGAGCAACACACCAAGGAAGCTAATACTAGCAACATTCTTTGTTTTCACCTCACTCTTCTTTTTCTGCACTTTCTTGCTACTTTTAGGCACTGACGCTACTGCCCGTGGTTTCAACTTTGGAATGGGAACCAATGGCACTTTTGATCCTTGTCGCTTCATCGTATAAGGTGGTGTATATGACATCCATGGAGGAGGATGTGGATACATCACGGGATTGGGGTGGACTTGAGGAGGTACACTTGTACCTTCAAGTTGTGCCTTTAAAGTTATATTTTCCGCGTTATAGGATATATTTGCATTCAAATGTTGAATTGTTGAATGAAGTATTCTAACTTTATCTTCTAATTACTCAACATAATGCTTTTTTCTTTGCCTTGACAGGTGAGCACTTTCCCTATTCCTAATTAATCTAGCCATCCTCTTCTCATCCTCATCATTATTAGCATGGTCACTCAAGGAAAATATAGTGGATTTTTGGTGTTTGATTACATTATTCTAGTCTTCACTGCCTTTTTTCTTTTCAACAAATATCTACAGCTACTCATATTAGCATTGAGTTTCTGTTCTCAACTCCTCCGTGTAATGAATTACTTCCTAACTTCGGGAAAGAATGTACCAATTTGTAAGAATTTGACAGATTATTCATCCCTTTTGAGAAATTGGAACCTAAATTCAGAGATGGCACGTTCAAGTACCCGAAGACTCGGTAGAAACATGGTGCGACAACAGAGACACTTCATCCAAAACTCCCGAGCTGCTCCAACTATGAAGTAGCCCCGACGATGACATTTCCTTAACCATCACACTTCCCGCTGCCCAATTGTCGCAAAATTTCTCATTTCTTCTGACCTCAACTTGACATTTCTAGAAGAATTACTAAAATTCCTAATAAATTCATTCCCATGTTGACTAAAGCAATTAGGGTCCATGTGGAGCGGGTTTGATCCCAGAGCTTCCCCTTGACAAACTCATGAGGCTGACTTGAAAGTTCTAGAAGCATAATCAAAACTCCCTATCGATTGACTCCCATGTTGGCCAAATCTATTTGGGTCCATCTAAGCTGAGTCCAAACCTAGATGTGACTTGAGATAGTCAGGAAGATATCTAGGCGTTTGAAACACATCATCATCGGTAGGGTTTCAAAAAATATCATTGACTGCTACATCATGAGTGATGTTATCAATTGAGAAATCAATGTTTCGAAATTTCAACGAAAAATCCTCAATATTTTCTTGATATGTTGCGGTCATGTGTAGGGCATAAAAAGTATGGTCAAGAGGTCGAACTACAAGACCATCGAAGTCCCCGATGAGGTTCACTTCTTCAACTAGTGATGGATCGTCCAAATCTATATTTTTTTAGCAATTGACCGCAATTTAGAGAGAGCCAAAGTAGGAATAGAGAGGAAACTGACAATTACTTTTGTTTTGTAGTTTTATTTTTTGAGATTGTTAAGATTGATCTATTAGATTTTGTAGGTATCATATCTTAGAAAAAAACATTAAGATTCTTAAAGTTTCAAATAAAAATTTGTAAGGTTGTTCCATTAGTTGGTTATGTGTATTTTACCAATAAGAGCATGTATGGATACTAGAATCCTCTTTTAAATGATTGACCATACTTTTTATGCCCTACACATAACAACATATGCAGAAAACGTCAATAATTTTCTATTAAATTTTAGAATGTTGATTTCTCGGTTGATGACATCATTTTTTATGCGTCATTTGATGATATTTTTCAAAACCCTGTGGATGATGATGCGTTTCAAATGCCTAATTACCTCCATGACTTTCTCGGGTCAATGTCAGGTTTTGAATTGGATCAGATGGACCCAAATAACATTGGTTAACCTGGGAGTCAACTGATGGAGAGTTTTGACGATTGTTCCAGAAATTCAAGTCAACCTCGGGAGATTCTCTCATGGAAGCTTTGGGCTCGAACCCAGTCTAGATGGACACTAATTGCTTTGGTCAAGTTGGGAATGAATTGATTGGAAATTTTAGCTATTATGCAAGAAATGTTAAGTTGACATCGGAGGAAATGAGCAATTTTGCCGGCAATCAGGCAGTGGGAGGTATGATGGTTATGGACATGTCATCGTCGGGGATACTTCATAGTTGGAGCATCTCAGGAGTTTTGGATGAAGTGCCTCTGTCGTTACACCAGGTTTTTACTGATGTCTCCGGGTACTTGAATGTGCCATCTCCGAATTGTGGTTCCAATCTCACAAAAGGGATGAATAATCTATCATATTCGAACAAATTGGTAAAATCTTCTTCGAATTTAGGAAGTAATTCAGTAAAAGGTGGAATTTTAGAAAATAAACTCAATGCCAATATAAGTAACTGTAGCTATTTGTTGAAAAGGAAAAAAGGGTAGTGAAGACTCCACTAATGTAAGCAAACATAAAAAATCCACTATATTTTCCTTGAGTGACAATGTTAATAATGATGAGGATGAAGAGAGGATGGCTATATTAATTAGAAATAAGGAAAGTGTTCACTTGTAAAGGCATAGAAAAAAGCATTATGTTGAGAAGTTAGAGGAATAATATAGAATAATTCATTCAACAATTCAACATTTGAATGCAAAGATGTCCTATGAAATAGCGGAAAATGTAACTCTAAAGGCACAACTTAGAGGTACTGGTGTACCTCCTCAAGTGCAGCCACCCCCCGGGATGTATCCCCATCATCCTCCATGGATGTTATATACACCACCTTATATGATGAAGCGACGAGGATCAGAAGTGCCATTGGTTTCCATTCTAAAGTTAAAACCAACCTGGTGTACCTCCTCATGTGCCGCCACCCCCAGGATGTATCCCCATCCCCCTCTATAGATGTCATATACGCAACGTTATATGATGAAGCCACGAGGATCAAAAGTTCCATTGGTTTCCATTCCAAAGTTGAAACAACATGCAGTAGCGTCTTCACCAAAAAGTAGCAAGAAAGTGGAGAAAAAGAAGAATGAGGTGAAAACAAAGAAGGTTGCTAGTGTTAACTTCCTTGGTATGTTGTTCTTCATGCTTCTCTTTGGTAGGTTCGTTCCTTTATTGAAAGTGAGATATGGAGGTATGAAGGAACCATTTATGAGTGGGGATTCTTGTGAGTGAGTTTTTGAAAAGTATCATGGAAGAGTTTTGACTATTAATGGGCCTATGAATGGAACTGATTATTCTGGGAAATACGATGGAATAGATCATAGTTCACTTTGTGGCCGGGGAGGTCAGGGTGAAAGCAATCAACAAAATACCAATAAGGCTTCATATGTGTTTGTTTGCGTGGGTTTAGCTAGTGATCCTCTGGCAGCCTCTTTTTATGTCCCGAGGAATGGTACACTTGTTAAGATTGAGGGGAACTTAATAATTCAGTCTGTGTTGGCAAGTTAGAAAAGCCATGGCATCTCATGGAAGTGCTCATAAGAAAAATGGAGAGGCAGGAATTGCCAACTACAATAGTCATTTTTGAGTAAATATTTATAAAAATGACTATTTATTTTATCAATGCCTCTACATTGCACACTTAGACTGTCATAATCTATAGTTCGATGAGTAGTATTTCTTATATAAATGAATCTTTCTAGTGAAGGATTTATACCCATTTGAGTGCTTTTAAATCAAAAGTACTAGCCTAACAGGTAAGCAAGAAGTGCAAAATCATAATGGTCCCATATAGTTGTTCATAAAAAAAATTCAACATTTTAGAGGCTTGATGATCTTTATTTATCCAAACTTAATACACATTTAAACTGTTAAACTGATATCCTTGAGTTGTGAAATTAAATACAAATAAAATTGATATTTTATCTGAAATACAATTATGAATATTTTTTTTCTTTTTTTACTAACATATTTTTAGCTCCTACATTAATTGTAGAAAATAAAACAATATCTTGATCATAATTGACAATTATAGAAATAAAAAAAATAGATGTCTTTGGACATACTTATTAAGGAATACTGCAAAGGAAGAGAATTTCAGCGGGAACAAGTCACTGTCTTCCATGGTAGTATATGTTCAGGTTGATCCAAGAGAGATGGGTGATGTTGATGATGATGGCATTGTTAGTATTTGAAACTTAAAGAGAAAATGATAAAGTTCAACAAAAGCTTTTTTCATTCATATTACATATTACAAAAGGCACACACACATGCTTTTCAAAAGTTAGTAGAGACCATAGATATCCAACCACTAGTGTATGTTCTTATAATACATTCATAAAATAAGCGCTACCTTTCCTTTACAAACTAAACATAATATTTAAAAATGAATCATTACACAAAACACTATCTAGAAATATCTCATTTTCTAACACTCCTTCTTGAGATTTATCTTGGATACTGCCAACTTAGCCCTTAGAACTTCAAATTTTCCCTCAGGAAGAGCCTTGGTCATAATGTCTACAATCTGCTGATCTAAGCTGCAATGAACAAGTGTAACTTCCTCATCATTCTCTTCTTGTTTGATAGCAAAAAACTTCACTTTTATATGCTTGCTACGACAATGTTTTTTGGCCATAGATATTGCTGAGTTGTTGTCAACCTTAATGACAGTAGATTCAATAAGATTTTTCTCTAGATCACTCGGAATCTTACTTAACTGTAGAGCTTGATTAGTTTCTCCAACAACGTCAATGTATTTTGCTTCTGTAGAAGATTCAGCTACCACTTTTTGTTTCTTTGAATTCCATGAGAACATGCCCGAACAAAGTGTAAAAGCATATCGAGATGTGTTTTTCATATCATTAATTCTTCTTTCCCAATCACTATCTGAATAAACCATCATTTGCCCTTCCTCTTCCTTTTAAAACCAAATAACATAATCAGCAGTTCCTTTCATATATCTCAACATTTTTTTAGCAACATCAAAATGATCTTGAATTAGAGCCAACATAAACCTCGACAGAAGACTTGTCACTAACATGAGATCAGGTCATGTTGCTATTAAATACAATAAACTACCAATTAGACTTCTATAAATTGTTGGATCATCCCTACACCTTAATGTTTATCGGGACCAATGACACTAACCTACGGTATGAGTTTCTACGATCGTCGATAGTATAGTAACCCAACTAAAGGTTTGGTTGTGTCCAAAGGGAGTGGTTTTGAGAATTGATAGAAAAATAAAATTTAGCTCTAACTAGTCGTAGCTAAAGATATTAACAAGTAAAAACATAGTAAATAAAAGGGGGTGACA